GTGCAAATCTAGAAAACAAAACTCTATCATTTTGTAACTACACTTTTTCAAGTGCGCAAAAAATTGATGTCATTGTGAGAAAAATATCTCACCATTATAATCCCTGCAAACACCTATTTGATAGCCAATGAGCATAATAATCACAACAATGAAACCTCCTGCTCTAACACTCATCATTCCAAAGATCAATCTTTAAACTAGGGATGTCAAGCCTCTATCGTTTTCTACCTAGTTGGGTGTAACCTTGTTGGTAAAGGTACATTAGGTCCATCCCTAAAAAATAGCATTCACAAGATGGATGAGTCTCAAAATGAAATCTTTCAACTTCAACAGGGGACTCAACAACTAACTCTAACACAACACCATCCACAAGATCAACTATCAGTAAGGATTATGTAGCTTGATCACACTTGTAAAGAGCCCCTTGTCACCAGCAAGGGTTTCTCCTGTACTACAATATCAAGTCAAATTTATTAACACAACTAGTTATACCCATACATCTCATGCAACCCTAGCTACTAGCCCACACTTATCTAGCAATCAAGGATAACTACACTCAACCCCACCTCAGTGGAAACTCTCTTAACATCCTATGTGATGGCTATGATATTTGGCTTAAGAAGAATTTCTCTTAAGGAGTTAGAGTCAACTCCCTCTTCATTATAGCTTTTAGGAGTCCTCGTTTCTAATTGAAGTTGTCCTTCAACTCCCCATTCCAATAGGTTTCAAGCAACTAAACATATACTCTTATGATGTAGACCTCATACTCTTACAAACATGTCGATCACAATAGAATCACCATAGTACTTATTCAACAAACTTCAGATGCCCTCCTCTATTAGGTCTATCCTTTCAACCCCAAAGGACAAACTCACACATAATTCTACTCACTTTTTAGGAGGGGAGGGACCATCTACACCTTATCAAACTTGCCAAACTACTTATCAAATAATTCGAACTAAATTAAAGAATTTCAAGGACTACTCCTACATCTAGGGAATTCTTCATGATGATAGAGAGTTGCTTGATGAGTACTTTTAGAGGCTTTTCTTTTAAAGTTTGCCAAATATTATTAGTAAATATTGATCTATTAAGAGGGGTCTTCTTTTTTAAGCTCCATCCTAGGCTTTTATATTCATCATTGATGTGAGATAAAATTCACACTTATGTAGACCTAATCAACCATATAGAAATACAAATCTCAATTAAAGAGGTCATTAACACCCATTAAAAGTGATTCAAACAACCCATAAAAAAAATAAGAATGCATCAAAAAGTGTTAATAAACTATTTTAATAAAAAAAGTTGGAACAACAGGGAAATCCTAAATCCCTTCTCGACCATCACACCAATGACATATATGAGCCATGATTAAAGGAGTATGCATTGCTCAATACATCCTATTCTAATATTTCTATTGCTATTCGAACGAAGAAACTATTGAGTGGTAAAAATCCATTGAAATTAAGAGCAATATTATCACTTCCACTATAGTCACAGACACACCACTAAAGCATGAAAGTGGCTTAAAAAAAGAAGAAGAAATTGAGAGGCTAATTTAACTTGGTTATTTTAGTCAATTGATCATGGAAAATCAAATCACTCATATAAATGTTGTTGTCACTAAGGGTCAACAAGCATAAAAACAATAGCAAGGTAATCACTAAATAGTTAATGAAATTAAAAACATTGTTGGATACATGTTATAATTCAATCAAGTATTCATCCCCATCACTAAAGGTTAGTATAGATCAAGCTTCGTAGTGATCGCTCTATTACTTTCGATGTATCCAACTTAGAGGGGGTCAAAATTTGACATCAAGACTCGCTTGTCATTACCGAAAGGATAGACGACTCATGCTACAATGTTAAAAGAATTATAATCGATAATGGAGTTCCATTGATTTCCTATTCTACTCTACATTTATTATGGATATGGTTAGGGAGCCCTAGCTTGCTACTATGCCACCATATGGGTTTTCCAATCAATTGGTATGAGTGGATGGGATAATCACATTTGGAGAATTCTCCCTACTTGCAAACGGCTCACTTAGTCAAATCAAGGCAAACTTAACATACAATGTCATCTCGGGAGGCCCTTATAGTTAATCTTTGGCAATGTTACTTTTGTGCCACACCTGAAGTTGAGGTCCTGAATCTAGCTTAATTTAATTTATTATATGAAAATCAGCAAGCAACACAATCATGTTATCTCAGACAGGCTTAATTGCGCTTGTGATGACCCTTAGCATTGATAACTTTCACCTTCGAGATGAAAACATCCTCAAGAAAGCTTCTCTTATGAAAAACCTAACTTGCATCCTTATATTAAACAAGCATTATTTACAGATGGTATAAATTGGTACTTGCATCCTTATATTAAACAAGCATTATTTATAGATGGTAGAAATTGGTTCTTTACACTTTAATGAGAAAATAAGCTTATATATATATATATATATATATATATACCATTCAAAAATTAAGATATCTTCACCTAGAGCTGAGCATATACGCCTGAGATTCACTTTGAAATAATTGTACATTCCTTTAAGATTGGCCCATCATTTAAACTGATCATCCAAAAGAAGTGAAACTTCACATTATATCGCTAACAAGCAATTGAATAGGAAGTCAGCAAACTCTTACATGTCATCCAACATTTAAACTGATTATCCAAAAGAAATGAAACTTAACATTATATCACAAAGAAGCAATTAAATAGGAAGTCAGTAAACTCTTAGATGCTATCCGACTTGGTTGATAAATATTATCACTATTGAGACATTATAGGTAGAATTTTTCAAAAAAAAAAATTGTGACTTCTTCGTCAGATTCCTCTTCTTTCGATGGCTTTCTGGCAAAAAAAATTTCTCCGGTATATACGGCATAGGAAATAGAATTTGACGATAGTTTTTCGCCATAAAAAGTTAATAAATTTTTTATGCAACTCCAATGATATAAACTATTAAAACCAATTTATCATAATAAAAATACATCTCTCAATGTCTCTCTCTTTCTCTATTTTGCTCTCTCTCTCTCTCATTATCTCCCCCTCTATTGAACTCTCTCAACTTCTCTCCCTCCTTATCACTTTCTTTTTCTCTCCATCTTATCTCTCCCTCCATCCATCTATCTATCACTTTTTCTCTCTAACTTTGTTTCTCTACCTCAGTCTTGCTCTCTCTCTTACTTTCTCTTGAACTCTCACCTCTCCTCTTTCTTAGTGGCTCTTTCTTCTCACTCTATTGCAATTTTTCTCACTCTATCTTCCTTTATCTATATTTCACATGCTCACACACACACACACACTCTCTCTCTCGATTTGAGTAATGATTTCAGGGAACTTACGGTCAAACTAAATGCCATAAAGGCACAAACTCATGATCATCGATATTGATCATTTAATATCTACTCCAAAATTTCTTAAACAAACCCTAAACCCTAATAAATTTGGTGTTGTAACAAAATAAATGAGCAATATAACACACGCACGCACGTGCGCACGCGCACACACACACACTCAGATATATATATATATATATATATACATATCTTTATACATGAAACCTTAAACCCTAAAATTAGATCCCTTTTTTTTTCATTTTTTTTCCCTAAAATTAGATCTATGAAGTTATTCAACATTGAGTGAAAAAAACTCTCTAAAATTGGTATAAAAGATTTTCTAATTGTTCAAATTGCACAAAAAAAGAGGAGTGGAGAGGACGCTTTTTACCTTAAAAAAACTAAAAAAAAAAGCATAGAGAACGAGCTAAAAATGACCTGGATCGGCGATTGGGGCGAAGCAGGCGTCGGCTTCAACTCTGACCAGAAATGCGTAAAAATGAGAAAGGGGGATGAGTTGGGGTGAAATAAGACTTTGTCGACGAATTTTCCGGCTAAAAATTCAGCTATAAAGCATCACTTAAAACCGGCAGGGGATCCAACGAAAGAGACGATGGGCCTAGAATTTACCGACGATTTGATACTGCCATAAATTTCGACTGTATCCGATGATTCTCCATTTTTTTTCTTGAGTGAAAAGGCTAGTGAGCTTTGGAGAATGTGCGTTGATTATATTGACCTTAATAAATATGCCTAAAAAAATAACTTTTATATCTCTCACATAGATCAACTTATTTATGCCAATCTAAACATCAAATACTAAGCTTTATATACACTTATTATATTTATCTTCAAATAAAGATGAGCTTTACAAACGAGAAGGCAACTGTCTTTTAGACAAATAAAATGTTATATTATTATCAAGGCATATCTTTTGGGTTGAAGAATGCTAGAACTACCTGCCAACATCTCATGAAAATGATCTCCAGAGCACCATTGAAGTATAGTTGATGATATATTGATAAAAAGATTTAAAAATTGCAATATGGAGGTCATCTTCTTTAGCATTACACTATACAACCCAACTTAGCCAAGTGCGCCTTTGGAATCATATAAAAAAAAGGATTTGTTGTCACATATCATGGATTTAAGCTAATATTTAGGAAATCAAAATGGGAATTTTAAAAAGGCGCAAGAACTAAACTAGAGAATCCCATCTTTTATCACTTCTTAGCCCACTCTAGAGATAAAATACTTACTAGCTTTGTCTCGTTTATTTTAATTTTAGATCTTTCAATCATTTTGATCCAACATTTGGTCTAATTTTTTAGAATTTTGATATATACATGGGACCTTATTTGTGTTGTATTGGACAATAATATTATAATTTTCTAATAAAATTTGCACGCACATGACACATAACTTAAGTAAATTTATGAAAGCAATTTTGTTTCATAACTTTTCTTTGTGAATTCTTACCTAATATCAAGCAAATATTTAGACCCTAAACTATATAGAAGAAACAAATGTTAAAAAATAGCTAAAATAATTATCATATAAATAATATTAATATTTATAATATATATCTAGACATAAAGATTAGGGAATTACTTTTAATTAGAATAAATCATGAGATTTTAACAAAATTTAAATATAAAATAAAGTTCACTAACAATATAAGATCCTTCGAGAAGTATTTTTCCTTTCTCGATCGAAACCCTAGGAGTTCCAGCAGCTAGAAGCGGCGGCGGCGGCGACATGGCTGTCGGGTTAGAGATTTTCTTTTGCCACGCTTTTTCCTCTCTTATTTCTACATCTATTAACAGTTCTGATTCCAAATTCTCAGGAAGAACAAGAGGATCTCAAAGGGCAAGAAGGGAGGAAAAAAGAAGACGTGCGTTTCTCTTGGTCCCAATTTGGTTGTGCTTTGGTTGTCTTGGTATCCCCTAGATGTTATTCTTTTTTTATTCAACGTTATTTTGCAGTGTCGATCCATTCTCCAAGAAGGATTGGTATGATATCAAGGCTCCATCAATCTTCTCGGTCAGGAATATTGGGAAGACTCTCGTGTCTAGGACTCAGGGAACCAAGGTAACACTTGGCTTCTCTGGACGAACTCTTGAAATTTATGCTCTTGATCTTTTTTGCAGATCTCTGTTGCAAAGTTATAAATATGTAATTCTCGCATGCTGTAGATTTATTTCCGTTTTTTTTTTTTTTTTTTAAGTTTTTAAGGATTCTTGAGTATTTTCTTTTCTAATTGTCACACTTGTATTCCAGCTTGTAATCAGTTTGACCCTTTTTTTATTATAACTAGTTATTTACCATTTATGCATCTACGTTTCCAAACTGGCTATCCTTTGTTTATTTTCAATATCATTATTAGCCTTATCCCAATCATTTGAGGTTAGCTTTATTAATCTTTAGTTTTTATTTGTTCATGCCTGAGCCGGTAAAACCTTTCTTTGCTAAGTACAATGATAATTTCTATCCATGAGCCATAGGTTTTGTTGCGGGCTTGAATATAAGCGGCGATAGAGTTTTAACTATACGTCTTAGCTTTGCACGGATATCCAGCACACACACAGAGAACACAAGATTTTTTACGTGGAAAACCCTTGAAAGGGAAAAAATCACGAGGCCTAGCCCAGATGAAAATGATTCCACTATAATATAAGTCGGTTACAATGGTCTGACTCGCCTCCGAGGGCGATCAAATGACAAATAACAATTGTACGATAGAAGTTCGGGTGTCAGGTGATGGTTTGGCGGAACTTCAGGCCTCAGGTGATGATCTAATGAAGGTGAGGGCCTCTGACGAATGTGAGGGCCTCTAGCCAAGGTAAGGGCCTCTGACGAAGATGAGGACCTCTGGCGAAGGTGAAGGCCTCTAGCGAACGTGAGGGCCTCAAGTGGTGGTCCGACGAGGGTGAGGGCCTCAGGTGGTGGTCTGGCGAGGGTGAGGGCCTCAGGTGGTGGTCCAACGAGGCTCCGGTGGTGGTCCGACGAGGCTCCGGCGGTGGTCGAGGAGGAGCTTCTTCATTCTCTTCTTCCTTCTCTTCTATTCTTGCTTTGGTCCTCTTGTCATCCATGCCCAAGGTCCTGGGTTCGAATCCATGGGAAGGCATGGAGGATTTTTTGTGTGATGACGTGGCAGTGGCATGCGGATCGATAACGTGGCACCCATAACTTGTTGGGTCATGACTGACGTGGCCACGACACAGATCGTGGGTGACGTGGCACCCATGACCTGTTGGGTCATGGCTGACGTGGCCACGCCATGCAGGATCGTGGGTGACATGACCACGACACGCAAATCGTGGCTGACGTGTCACAAATGATCTGTTGGGTCATAGCTGATGTGGCAGTACCATGCAGGACGAATCGATGACGTGGCAATGCCACATATAACAGATCGGTGACATGGCGCGCATATGCAGAGTGGATTGATGACGTGACGCTGACGTGGCTGATGACGTGGCACCCGGATTTTTTTTTAAAAACTTTCGACCTCCCCTCACATCTATAAATACCCTCCTGGGGTATGAAACATTCACATCTTCTCTTCTCTCTCTATTCTTACAATTGAGATTTTTCCTTGGTCCTCCAAGGCCCCTCTATTTGCAAGAAAGTCCTACATCAAGATCAAGAAAAATCAAGATCAAGGAAAATCATCTGAAGCATGGCTATGGGTCACCCCTTCGACTTTAACTCAAGTCAGACTTCCTTGCAAAGAGAGGGGCCTTGGAGGACCAAGGAAAAGCCTCAATTGTAAGAATAGAGGGAGAAGAGAAGAATATGTGATTTTTTCATACCCCGGAGGGTATTTATAGATGTGAGGGGAGGTTGAAAGTAAAAAAAAAAAATTCGGGTGCCACGTCATCAATCCACCTTGCATATGCGCGCCATGTCACCGTTACGTTATATGTGGCATTGGCACGTAATCGATTCATCCTGCATGGCACTGCCACATCAGCTATGACCCAACAGATCATTTGTGACACGTCAGCCACGATTTGCGTGTCGTGGCCATGTCACCCATGATCCTGCATGGCGTGGCCACGTTAGCCATGACCCAACAGGTCATGGGTGCCACGTCACCCACGACCCAACAAGTTATGGGTGCCACGTTATTGATCTGCATGCCACTGCCAAGTCATCGATCCATCCTGTATGTCGCCGCCATGTAATCACACAAAAAATCCTCCATGTCTTCCCCTGGATTCGAACCCAGGACCTTGGGCATGGATGACAAAAGATTTACCACTCATCCACCAAGGAAGAGTTGATATAACTATACCTATTTTTTATTTATATTATAAATTACATAATGTATTTTGGTTCAAAGCTAAGTCCGAAAAAGGTCAAATCGGACGTTTTTGGAGTCCCCGGAATCGTTTTTCGACGTTTCATATTCAATTTTGACACTTTTAAAGTAATTTGAGACCTCTACGCCCAAAATCGGACTACATTCAAGTTTCACATCACGCGAAAAAATTTCCACCGACAGTAATGCATATTTTCGGACTCCTGGAAATTCGACGTCCAAAAATAGGGGGGCAACTGATGCATCATCCAAAATCATCTTGATCGGGCACTAATCTCGATGCAAAAGCACGTTGAAAACTTCAAAAATTAATTCGGAGACCATCTCAACTCAGATTTCAACAAACTTATAGTCAAACAGAGCGTCTCAGAAATACAAATCCAACGACACCAAATTCGACTCAATCCGACCCCAAATGAGCCCAAATTAAGGACCCAAAGCGCTGTTGGAAGCTTCGTACCACTATTTGAATTACCAAACGATTTCCAAATATGACGAGCTTATAGTCGAATCAAGTGGCTCGATGAGACAATTCCAACGAGCCTAAGATCACTGAATTCCGAAATCACTAAAGCCTCCAAATGCCTGACAAAGGATCCATGATTAAGGGGTTCAATATCGGCCGTCCATCCAACCACTCCCCATTCACCCTTGATCTCTCACCTATTTACGGGCCATGCCACTCTTGAAAATCTATAAATAGACCCCTCATTTCTCTTGAAAGAGGACCCAAGCAAGAAGAGAAGAAGAGAAGAGAAGGAAGAAGCTCCTCCTCGACCACCGCCGGAGCCTCGCCGGACCACCATCGAAGCCTCGCCTGACCACCGTCGGAGCCTCGTCGGACCACCACCTGAGGCCCTCACCCTCGCCGGACCACCGCTGGAGCCTCGCCGGACCATCACTTGAGGCCATCACGTTCGCCAGAGGCCTTCACCTTTGCCAGAGGCCTTCACCTTTGCCAGAGGCCCTCTTCTTCGTCAGAGGCCCTTACCTTGGCTAGAGGCCCTCACCTTCGTCAGAGGCCCTCACATTCGCCAGAGGCCCTCACCTTCATTAGACCATCATCACCGAGGCACAAAGTTCCGCCAGACCATCACATGACACCTGGACTTCTATCGTACAGTTGTTATTTGTCATCTAATCGCCCTTGGAGGCGAGTCAGACAATTGTAACCGACTTATATTCTAGTGGAATCATTTTCAACTGGGCTAGGCTTCGTGGTTTTTCCCCTTTCAAGGGTTTTCCGCGTAAAAAATCTTGTGTTCTCTGTATGTGTGCTGGATATCCGTGCAAAGCTAAGACGTATAGTTAAAACTCTATCGCCGCATATATTCAAGCCCGCAACAGGTCTACCCATTTTCCCTACAAATCCTTCAACGCTAATATTATCTACTTGTTTAATTGGAGCATTTTCTATCATTCATTGTACATTTGTAGATCAAATATCTATTTTCATTTGTCTTGTCTTTGATAGATTTCATGCTAATGGTTCCTTTGATATAATCATTCTTTAGTTTATTTTTGTTTGTTGTTTCATACATACATCTTAACATTCTTAGGCTTCGTTTGGTTCTTCCTCTCCTTTTGTAAAAGGTAATTTTAGAAACATTGGTTAAGGGAATTAAGTTTTCTATCGGAGAAGTAAATATCAAAAAGCTTCTCAAAATAGTAGAAAAATGAAGTTCCCTAAAAAGCATTATATAGAAACGTCCCATCCAAACAACGACCAAAAAATAGTTTCACGGTTTCTAAACAGGAAAGGGTAAAAAAACGCCGAAACAAACAAAGGCCTTATTTTTATCGTGTATAACTTATATATCGATAACAATGTGCAAGAGCATGAAATTACTACTATCATTCTTCTAGTCTGTCCAATATATATATATATATATATATATATATATAAAGTGCCTAAGTTAATGTGGCTTTTGGTGGGATATTGATGACATCTATTAATAGCTTAATGGGTGTCACCAAATCTCCTGGAGGACTCTCTTCTGTAGAGTTCAGGGTCCTAATACTCTATAAGAGTTTCGCTTCATGTGCCATTAATGTATCATGAATGTTGAACGTCCGCACTTACAGACCCAATATCTATAAATGCATATGGATGAATGGCGTTCTTGTATCAGCAACATCATTAATCATTATTAATCAATTTGAACATTAATGCAATGGAGGCATACATTGTAATTTAAGGAACGCCTATAGTTCATATGGTGGCTTGATTTTCCCCAATATGGCAAATGATCTACCACATTTGAAGTATGATTAACATGAATGTTAGGTGACAAATCAAGATATATGCATTGAGATTAAGCGTTCTCATAATCTTGCAAGGTTCAGAGGCTCTTATTGGTTGTTTGTTGTGTTTTGAGTGCAATCAGCTAGTAAGAAAAATATAATTGAAGGCATAATATACCTTAATGTAACCCTATGCATGCAATCATCAAAACTTTTAAACTTTCACCATGCATATCAAATTCAATTTTATAGTTAAAATGCATTTTGTCCGTATGGTCGATAAACTAATGGAATGGAGACATATCAATTTAATATTTGAATTATGAACTTTTTTATGCAATTCAATATGTTTGTATTGCACTTCTAGTGAATCAAGAATCAAATGAAATATTGGGAAACTCTTTAGTATTCATCATGTACATTGTTTGATTTATCATTTGAATTGGCAATTGCCATCAGTTGCATCTTTATCTCTGTCTCCATTAGCAATAAGTGTTTTAACTGAGCGATGCATTGTTATATTGTACTCTTAACTAAATTGTTCATCAACCTTCGTTTTTTTAATCCTTGAACTGCTTCATTGTCTTACCTCAGATCGCTTCTGAAGGTCTCAAGCATAGAGTATTTGAGATCTCTTTGGCAGATCTTCAGAATGACGAAGATCAAGCTTACAGGAAGATTAGGCTTCGTGCAGAAGATGTGCAAGGCAAGAATGTCCTCACAAACTTCTGGGTAAGCTCAGCAAAAACCTTTTTTCTGTGTGCGCTTAACATTCTTTACTGATACTTTGTTGCTTTATTATAGGGTATGGATTTTACTACTGATAAACTCAGGTCTCTAGTTCGCAAGTGGCAAACTCTTATTGAGGCACATGTAGATGTGAAGACAACTGACAACTACACTATGAGGCTGTTTTGTATTGCATTCACCAAAAGACGCCCTAACCAGGTCAAGCGCACCTGCTATGCTCAGTCTAGTCAGATCAGACAGGTTTGGCACCTCTCAAGAATGTCCTATCCTAACTTGTTCAACCTGTTATTTCTCTTTTCAATAGCTTGGTTGCCTTGTTTCCCCATTTTGTTATAGATTCGTCGAAAGATGAGAGAGATAATGATAAATCAAGCATCATCCTGTGATCTGAAGGAGTTGGTGCAAAAATTCATTCCCGAGGTGATTGGGAAGGAGATTGAAAAGGCCACAACAAGTATTTACCCACTTCAGAACGTGGTTATTCGCAAAGTAAAGATTTTGAAGGCTCCGAAATTTGATCTTGGGAAGCTCATGGAGGTATATGCTTTCTCTTAGGGCTTCTTGAGCTGATTGTGTACATGCATGATTTGGGAAGAGATTATTATGTGCGGACACTAGATCGAAAGAATCGTCCGGTTTTGTCTTTGTGAACAGTAAAAACGCAACATGAACAGTAAAAGTGCAGCTCACAGAGACAAACCGGATGGTTTTTCCATCCGGTGTCTGCACAAAATAATTCATCATGATTTGGCCAATGTCAGAATGTTGGTAAAAATCTAGGGTTCAAATTTTGTCTAAATCAAACTTGTGATTAAGCACTCAGCTCTCTATATGTAGATTAATTATTTTGTGCGGATTCCGAATGCTATTCAGAGGTGAATCACAGTGTGTCACATCACCTATTTGTTGTTGTTTGTTGGGTACTGGTGATGTGGCTTGCTGTGATTCAACTCCGGACGGTCCAAAATCCGCACATAATAATTTCTCATATATGTATAATGCTTGCTATTTTTACTATATCTGATTGCAGCACCTTGGCATAATTTAAGTATTACTAGCCATTTGATATGTTCTCCTTGTCATGGTGATTGCAGGTGCATGGTGATTACAAGGAAGATTTGGGCGTCAAGCTTGATAGGCCTGTTGAAGATCTTTCAATGGAAGGGGAAGCTGAGGTTGTTGGAGCTTAGAATTTAATGATAGTTTTTTTTTTTAAAAATTTTGAGGATCTTTGTCTAATGCTTTTTGGTTTATTTGCATTTATCACGTTTCTTGAAACAAGGTTAGCAGCTTCTAATTGTTGTCTATGCAAATATTTTGAATCTAAATGGATTATGCACGTTTTATCAGAAATTCCACTGCAACTCTGTATAGATCTTTAAGAATGGAATAGAATATGAAGTTGCAGCTCATGAGAGCTTTGACTATCAACCCACCGAGGCGTAGGGTGGTTGGTGGGCAAGCACGATTGGGAACCTTCTATCCTGGCTCAAATCATCTCTACTACAACCTTGCCTCTTCAGTGAGGTCATGCAAGTGTGGACCCGATGTTAGTGGGTGGCATCATTAGGTTCCACTAAGATATTAGTTATACTGCGAAGCGTTTCTTTTGGAATGACATCGGATAGATAATTCGCTCTCTCTCAACATTGAAACTTTCTTATACCATATGCTTAAATTTTTTTTGTTATAATTTTTTATTGTTTTTTAAATTAGTTTTTTGAAGTACTAAAAATTTGTTTTAAAAAATTATAAGAAAATTGTTACAAAATCTTGCAGTCAGATATATTCTGAATAAAGTCTTGAATATTCACTTTTTTCCATCACTCCACCTTTTATATTTTTTTAAACATTTACCTTCGTAAAATTCTACTATTTTAAAAAGTACCACTATATTACATTTCATAAAAAAATTTGCAAACCTAAAATTAAAATTTATTTTTTATCACCCTAATTGTAGAGCAAGAATAAATAAAAGAAATAAACACCCAGAAATAATAAAAGAACAGAAAAATAAATACAGGGAATATTATATATTTCATAATAACCCTTTACACAAACATATAAAAGTTGTTCACAACAATCAATTAAAATAAATACACAAAGGCAAAGAAATTATTGATTTCACACAGAATTGCAGTTAGTCCAGAGCAGAAACTCAACATTATCTCTCTAAGGTTTTGTTTGGAACCATTTTTTATTGCTTCTTAAAATAGCTTTTTAGTAAAAATTAATTAATTTTTATATAAAAAACTGTTTTAAAAAATAATAAAAAAAACGTCCCAAATAAAACCTAAAAGGGATCTGAAACCTGAAAAAGATCCACAGAAGCAGAAGTCTAAATAATCAGTTTTTGGACTTGGAATGCTTCACAAGCCAGTCTATGACAACATCAATGTTGGTCGTGTTTTTGCATGAGATCATGAAGCAGGAGACTTCTCTATCAGTGATGGATTTCAGACCCATTTCGTCAGTCAAGGCTTCTTTAGAGAGAGCTTCAGCCTTGTCTATTTTGTTCCCGAGTACAAGCAATGGAATGCCACTGAGTGAAGGTTTGCTCAACAAGTCATGAAGTTCGCCTTTTGAAATTGACAAGTTCTCATGATCAGCTGCATCAACAACATACCTGCAAGAGAATGTAACAACCATTCTTAGGATATGTTTGGGACAGCTTTCTGAGAAGCACTAAAAAAGTTGTCCCAAACGGAGATTTAATGTGTGATATGTTAAGATTCCAAACAAGGTTTTTGAGAACAATAAAAAATCCGTGCAAAGAGAATGTAACAACCATTCTTAGGATTTGTTTGGGATAGCTTTCTGAGAAGCACTAAGAAAGTTGTCCCAAACGGAGATTTAATGTGTGATATGTTAAGATTCCAAACAAGGTTTTTGAGAACAATAAAAAATCCGTGCAAACGGTTATTGTATGCTTGCCACGATTCTCACTACACCAACAGATTATGATAGTGCAAAGCTTCCAAAAGATATTTGGCAATTTTCAAATTGTAAACTGCCATCCAATTGCTTTAAATTTCACATAGGTGGTGATCTTCTGAATAGGCAACAACTGTGTTGTCACAAAAAAGATTTTTGAATTTTGAATATATAGAAGAATATAATCTATGATTACAACAACAACAACAAGTCTTTGTCCCACTACGTGCGGAACCATAAAGCGTTGCAGGTCTCACCACCATCTTATAAAATTTTCCCTTAAGTTTGAGGGGGACTTTTCTATCGCACAATAAGCCCAATGCATTCCTCCACTTCAACCATCCAACTTGAATTCTGCTAATAATATCCCCATCAATTTCACCATCACTCTGAACATTAGATCCAAGATATCTAAAACGTGTACTTTTATTAATGACTTGATCACCCAAAGTCACAACTCTCATTAGGTCTATTGTTACTAAAATTACACTCCATATAATCAATTTTAGATCTACTCAATCGAAAACTTTAGACTCTAAAGTTGATCTCCATAATTCAAGTTTACCTTCAACTCCCTCTCTAGTCTTACCATTGATTATATAAGAATATAATCTATGATTGAATTATATAAATATATAAATATGTAAAAAGATAGCCAAATGTGATCCATAATGTGTTTGTTTATTCCAATGAGAGTTTTATCTTACATTAGTTATCTTACTAGAGATTTCAATGGACTAGGTATTTGCTTACATTTTTGTCTACAGGAGAAAAGAACTACACTAGATGGCCCTGCCAGTAAGTGTTATGCAAGGAATATCATTCTTTTATGTAACAAATGACCTCGAATAGTGAAAATCACCCAAGGGACAACAATTATCACAAGGTCTGAACTTCGATCAGTTCTAGCATTGGGCTTCACTCAGAAATCATCATCCCAACTATTTGGGGTAGAAGTTACCAATCCTCAATTCTCACTCATTTTTATTAAGTATTGTCTAAGGTGCTAAATCAATTTTTTGCAAATCATTTTAACAAAACTTATGTTCATGTAACATTTGTTCTACTTTTTTTTTTTAATAATCCCTTGAACTAATTTTATCAACTAGTATAATAGAGAATTTTCTACTCTTTATTATACATAATAAAACCACCAGGTTTATTTTCAATTACCTTATCTTCAATATAACACACTCCAACCTTTTTTCTTATATAATCATTCATTTATTTATCCTTTGAAATTTTGTCACACATTCATCTTATCATTCTCAAACTTTGTAAAAATCGCTTTAAATATCATTGACTTTTTAAATCCCAAATTCAAATCCATCCAACATCGTTGACCTAATAACTATTTTGCAGGATTTACATTCAAGGCCCCATGATCTCCTCTAAGCACATAAAACTCTTGAGGTACTTCTCCATTTTAACAATCTAATTTTAACTCTAGAAGTTATAGCCATATATATGCCTATCTTTATTTATAAAATAAAACCATAGTATGCAAACCTACTACTCTTAAGTATCACCGTACCTTCTAATAATATTGAGTATTGATTATTAGAATTGTACATCCCAAAATTACATATTATAAAATCAATATTTATTCAACAAGTTGTAAGGTCTCTCTCTTTTAATATTTTCTCAAATATTATAATAATTTATTTATTTCAATAGATATCTCATCAATTAGAATAATATCAACAAAAAAATATATATCAAAGTACCTCACTTTGAATGTCGTTTGTAAGCATCTCAGTAACTAATACAAAAAGATATGAACTCAATATTGATCATTGATATATACCTACAACAATTAAAAATTCTCAAGTCACTCAACTACTTAGACTATTAATCAGTACTCTATCACATTTAGCTTTATTAATATCAATATATACTTGATACACACATTTTTGCCTTAAAATATGTCAAATGAATTCTTACGAAGCACATTAATACACCTTATCAAGATCAATATAAATAACGTGAATATCCTTTCAAAATGTTCTATGCCTCTCCATTAGTTTTTTTTAACACCAATATCATTTCCATAATATATCCTTTTAGCATGAAATAAAATTGATTCTCTGAAATAATTGTAATTTTATCAAGACTATGTTCTACTACTCACTCTCATGATTTCATTGTATGACTCCATAAATCTGATTCCTCTATTATTAGCATAATCTTAAATATCACATTTATTTTTAAATATTGGCATAAAAATGATTGTTTTTAATGACTTGGCAACCTCTCGATTTTCAAATTTCTATTGAAAATTTAGTTAATCAAATCGTTGCAATATCCCCCATAACTCTCCAATCTCAATAGATATCTCATTTGAACCTAAAATTTTATCTTTATGTGCCTTTTTCAAAGCTAATTCTACTCTAATTTTTTTTTCAATATATTATTTACTTCATTGTATTATTCATTATATTCTTCCAAAATATAATTTTTAAATCATTCAGAAGAATGATCTTTGTACATACAGGTTATATGTTTGTTCCATAAAATTGTTTCATTTATCTTATGAGTAGATAATCCTAAAGCTTTCGTTCAACTTGTCCTTCACTTGAAATAGTTTTAAACTTAGTTGGTATCTTGGATGAGTTCCAGGATCCCTAAATTTCATAGTCCCTCTGATTAAGGAGGACAATGATCGACCAATTTATTGCTAACTTTTAAGATAAGCTTTCAGTTTTACATGATTTCTAAATAAAAATTTCTTTGTATTCACTGCCAGGCAAATAGTTTAATCAAGATTAAGCATGTAAATCACACAAGGCTACCTAGGAAAAAACATAAGATAATAATGGCGTGTGTACTGAAAACCTGGTCAAGTACCAGGTTGGAGATCGAGGGAAAGGTGAGGAAGAAGAAAATACCATACACCAACCATAAATAGATTCACAAAAGAAGATTTAAGCAAAACACATGCCTACAAGATGTTATAGTACATCATGAAGAATTGCATTCAATGTTCTACAAGTATAAAGAATGCCTATTTTGTCTAATAGAATACATAGTAGCAACTAAATTAATCATTCAGTCTACTCTTTCCAAGGGAAAATCCTATAAATACAGGGTAAAGATTAATTCTAATCTGATTTAATCAATTTGAAGCAATTAGATCTATTGGGAAGATCAAATTTTGTAGCCCAATATGAACCACAATGATTATTTTTCAGAAACAAGGCATACAATGATAAGTGTGACTGTTGTAAAAGATGATATTTTCCCATGCTGGCATATAAACATCAAGCGCATACATGTAAAGTTCCTAGACTAACATATTTGAGAATAAAACAGTAAATACAAAGAAGGGAAAAAACCATACACAATAGCAGAGACTGCACGGCAGTATCGTTCCCACATGCTGCGAAATCTAGGCTGCCCACCAAGATCCCATAACTTTATAGTAACTTTTCCTTTGGTAACCTTCCTCATATTAAACCCTACCTTCAATATCAAACAAAATTACATTTAACTTGATAATGAAAGAGATAGGTTGATTAAAACAGGAAGAATTATCAATCCTGGTATATATATTAAAAATTTACTCACAGTAGGAATCATGTCTTCACTGTATCCACCAGTCTGCAAAAGGACAAATGAATAAGCCAAGGTAAAACATTATTCAAGAGCAAAATTGAAAGTTACAGACGACTAAAAAATAACTGAAAATCGCAGATACAGACCGCAATAACATTAACAAGTGATGTTTTCCCAGCATTCTGGAGTCCTATTAAGGATAACTCCATTTCTTGTTTGAAGAAGAGGCTGCATAAATAAGAAAAAATAGAATCTTCAATACAAGCACACAAAATATTTTGAAGAAAATAATCTAAATTTCCTTATGAACACATCCATAACTTAAAAAATAGTCTGAAATTCCGACTTCTACTAACATGTAAAGGAGGGTACAGAAAAACTTGTAATATCCGGCATTCCAAAATGAAACCTTTTAGCTACGATGATATTAAGCAGCCCTTAGGAACAGGATTGATAGTTACAGATAACTATTAAAAAGAGTAACAGAAACGAAAGATTCATTAGATGTTGGTTCTGCTTCTTCCCAATCACCATTGTATTTCAACGTCCTTGATCAATGCCAATAAGATTATTGGAAAACTAGAAAAGGCACTCAAACCACAATAATTCAAACCCACACCACGCCACATTCCACATAGCCAAAAAAATAAAATAAATCCAATCAAAACCTAAAGCTGGCTGCTTTCTGCACCTAATATCTAGTCCTAAAGAACCCACCGCAATAAATCAAACGGAAACAAAAAAAACATTCCATGAATCGTAGATCAATCGATAAAATCTATCCCAATGCAGTCAAATAAGGTCATACGTACGCACGGCCCTTACCTTCGCAGCCAATTCAAGAAAGAGTCCCATAGCCCCATGGAAGAAAAAGAACTTCGACGAGAGGAGAGTATAAGCGCAAAAAGAGATAGGAGAAGGTAAAGAAATGAGATCCCTTCCCCTTCAGTTCCGTCTTGACACGCGCCTTCCCTAGCCGAACCTCCGAAGCTCCCCGGCGAATATAAGCGCACGGAAAGATAAATACCTTTTTTTTTTTTTTGGATTTGAGAGAACTTAATTTCGTATTTCTGATAAATAAGAATACTCACCGTAGAAAAATAAATTAATATTTTTTAATTGTGTTTAGAATTTAGATAACAAAACGGAATAGTAATTAAAAAATGTCGATTTGTTTATTAAGATAAAAAAAAAAAAGAAGAGAAGAAAATAAAATACTGATTTTTTTTTCTACATGTATGAAATATTTCATTGCTCCCTCTAAATGAGTGAAAATAAGAAAATGAATTAGCATAACTAAAAATTTAATAATATAGAAAGTATCTTTATTTTAATATAAATAATTAAATAAACTATTAATTCATTCTTTTTATTTTTATAATGCATGAATACATATGAGAATACAAAATGATCACTAATATATCTATTAATCATTGATCAATATATGATTGTTATTGTTGTGTCTTGGAATATTTGTGACGGTAAAGAAATATGAAGTTTAATGTCTTAGCTTTGTATGAAGATCCAGCACACAATCAGATAAGAGAGATGGTGCATCATTTATAATAAACACCATAGATTTTTACGTGGAAAAACCTGAAATGGAAAAAACCATAGGATTTGACCCAGTTTGAATTAATCCACCAATATTTGTAGTTGATTACAAATGAGGCTCTTCCTTTGGAGAAAGCATTTGCTTGATGTAACAAATATACAACATATATAGTGCATTACATTGTGGAAATTGGAAGAATCAGAATTGATATATTCGTTTGGTTGGCAAGATTATAGTTAGCTGGCGACAGATGTTGGAAAGACCGTATTTTGGTGACGGTGGTTGGAAGGAGTGTAGTTGTCGAGCGACGAAGGTCGAAAGACCGTTGTCAAGCGACGAAGGTTGAAAGGATCATAGTTGGCTGGCGACGGAGGTCTTAAAGACTATTATCTAGCGACGGAGGTCGAAATAACCGTAGTCGATGGGTGACGTAGTCCAAAAAGACCATAGTCAAGTGAGGGTGATCGGAAAAACCATTAGTCGATGGGTGATGGAGGTCGTAAAAATTATTTTCTCACGATGGAGGTCGAAAGGATTATAATCGGTGGGCGATGAAGATAGAAAAGATCATAGTCGGGTGATAGTGGTCAGAATGATCAAAGTTGGCAAGCGATGGAGGTCGGAATGACCGTAGTCGATGGGTGATAGAGGTCATAAAGACCGTTGTCTGGCGAAAGAGCTCGGAAGGATCGTAGTCGACGGGCAATGAAGGACGGAAGGAATGTTGTCTGGAAACAGAGGTTAGAAGGATTGTAGTCGGCGGGCAACGGAGGCTTGAAGGACCGTAGTCGGCGGGCGATAGTGGTTAGAAAGACTGTTGTATGGTGAAGGAGGTTGAAAGTACTATTGACGTGCGGAAGTGCTTCTGGTAGGAGTCCGATGACGGGCAGAAGTTTGACGACATGTGAAAGTTCAGTATCGGGTAGAAGTTCGACGAAACTCTGACAACGAGCATAAGTCCAGTGACGAGCGAAAGTTTGACATCGGGTAGAAGTCTGATGAAGGGCATAATTCCGACGACGGGCAAAAGTTTAGCGTCTGGTAGAAGTTTGACTAAAGTTTGATGACGGTCAGAAGTTCGGCTATAGGTGGAAATTTAGCATCGGGTAGACGTCCGACGAAAGTCCGGCGACGGGTGTGAATTTGACGTCGGGTAGAAGTCCGAAAAATATTCCAGCAAATGGCAGAAGTCTAGCTACGGGCAGAAGTTTGATGTCAGGTAGAAGTCTGATGAAAGTTCAATGACTGGGTGGAAGTCCGGTGTTAGGTAGAAATCGGGCGATATGCAGAAGTCCGATGTCGATTGGCGGCCGGGAGGTAGTCGAGGAGCTTAGTGACAACTAATTTCTCTTCCTCACCTCTCGTCTTTCCCTTCTTTCTTTGAGGCCCCTTTCTTGAGAAATGAGGGATCTATTTATACTGAGAATGACATGGCTAGTAAATAGGAGGAAGATCAATGATAAATTATAAGTGGTTTGAATGGACGACCAATGTGGATTCCCTCGATCATAGAACATTTCTTTGGAATTTGACTGTCTTAATGATATCAGAATTCAACAATCTTAGACTCGTTGGATTCATCCCGTCGAGTCGCTCAATTCGACTATGATAAGCATGTCATGTTTGGAAACCGTTTGGTAATCCAAATTATAGTTTGAACCTTCCAAATGTGCTTTGGATTTGGACTCATTTGGTCTCAGATTGAGTCGAATTTGGTGTCTTGGGTTCGTATTTCTGAGACGTTCAGTTCGACTGTAAGTTTGCTTAAATTGAAGTTCAAATGATCTTTGATTTAATTTTTGAACTTTTCAACTTGATTTTGCTTCGAGATTCGTGCCCTATCAACATAATTTTTTGATGATATATCATTGTTATATAACATAAACAATTAATTTGGGATTTTTTTTTTATTGTTTTCTAAAACAACTTTTGAATACAAAGATTTATTGAAATAAAAAAATTTGTTCTAAAAAATTATTTTAGAAAACAACAAAAATTGTCTCAAGCTTCCTTTGGAATTGGCTTTCTTATTATTTTTTAAAATAATTTTTTAGTATAAAAATTTTAATTTTTATATTAAAATTTTATTTAAGAAACAGTAAAAAAAGCCTAAGTTGAAACCAAGCTCTAATAATTTATAGATATTAAATATTTTGGACAGCTAATCGTTGGATGTGAATGTGACATATTTGATTATTTTGGATTATTTATGATCCTTCATTGACATTTATATGTGATTGTCTAAGTCCATTTAAAATAGTGTTGGGTACAATTTAATGATTATGTTAATTGATGATGTCTATGTGACATACATCAATGGCATAGATTAATTAAATTATGTGTGATTATGATACTTCCAATAATTAATAATTTATGAAGGATCTTTGTATAAAATTCTACAAACTTTTGTTTTTTCATGTAAGTTAAAAGGATTTACAACTATTTTAATGATTATATTATCATATTTTGAAGATTTGCTTGATATTTTTAGTTTTAGTATCTCTCATTGAGTCATCATACTTTTATTTTTATTTTTATATCTACATATATTAATATATTTATTTGTTTTATTTAATTTTTTTATTTATTCATATAACATTCAAATATTTAATCATATAAAAATATAACTAATATTAATATTTTTAAAAAATAAAATTTATGTTCTAATGTATATATTTTTTTGTGATTAAGAGTATTTGAGATATTATGTTAGTTATGATGTTATAAAAATAAATATAAAGATTTAATATGAAAGATTTAAATGAAATAAAAATCTTATTCTATGCTTATGAACCGCCCCAATTTAAATTATAATGCATCATTGTTTTGTCATAAATGAAACATTATTTTAATTTTTTAATATTTTAATATGTGCCTTTAGCATATCATAATGATTATTTTTATAAATGTTTAAATAAAAACCATATATTATTGACACATTATCAAAAAAATTGGCTTATCTTGATGCACATTGTGAATACAAACTTATATTAATGTAGTACAATTTAAACTATCGATTTAAGAAAATTATAGTCAAACTGACTAAGCCTGATGAGATGACTCAATGACATAAACTAATAAGATTTAAGTCTACAAATAAACCCATATTAAAGTTTGAAGCAATGTTATAAACTTGTGGATATGGATTGGAAAGTTAAATGATCTGCAAATTTTTTGCAATTTATAATCAAATCAATCATCTCAATAAGACGAATCTACTAGCCAGATGTCTCTTAGTTTTGATAATAAATACAACAGCTAAAATAATTATGAATGTTCTATGATCAAGAGAATCAATATATGTTCGCTAGGGTGTCAATATTTGACACGACACGAAATCTCCGACCGCCGAAACCCGACCCGAAAATCCGGTTGGACCGCGACCGGGCCGATTTCAAACGGGTCGGCGTTCGGGTTCCTAATTTGACCCGTTAAAAACGGGTCGGGTCCGGGTTGACCGCGGGTTCCGGGTCAACCCGCCAACGCCGTTTAGTTTAAAAAAATTCGACAATCCAGCTGCCCGCCTGCCCCTCCCGTGGCCCCGCACCGCTGCGGCCGTGCCTACCTTACGGTCGCGCATTGTGCACGCGACGCCAGTCCTTGCCCGCCCTACCCGCGCTGCGCGGCTGCCGCTGCCGGCGGCGTGCCTCAGCGCCACCGGACAGCTGCCTGATGCCGCAAGTGACTGCGGTGTTTGATTGTACGGCTGCCGCCGTGCCGTCTCGGCGGCATGCCGTGCCGCGACGATTTGCTCGCCCGCCCGGCGCTGACCGCTACCGCCGAGCTACCGGTCTGTGTCATCGTGGGTTCAACGCCCTGCTGCAGTTGGGCAGTTCGCAGCCCGCGGACGCTCGACCGGGTTCGTTCGAATTTCGAACCCGCAAACGTTCTCTGGTCGGTCCGAGGATGCAATTTCCGAACGTTTGTTCCCGGCGGTTAGGAGGTACGACCCTGTTTTCCACACCGGGTCACGTTTCTGGGGTTTCGGACCGAACCCGACCGTTGACCCGAAATTACAACCCCTTATATTGTTCGCATAGTGGTGGTTTTGGATTTTCTCCATATTTTTTGGGACATGCATTTTTAAAAATCTATAAATAGGTACTTACTCTTTACGTGAAGAGGAACCCTAACTAGAATTTCAAGAGAACTAAAAATGAATTGAAAATTACATAAATTCTAACTTGAACAACACCATGGTCATACCATAGAGCTCATGGCCGACCATCGGAACCGCACTGCTTGACTGTCGCCGTCAACCTACCTGATCATCATCATTAGACTACCACTTAGTCATTCATCGATCTAACTTAATTTGCAGTTGGATTGCCGTCATCAATTTTTCATTCGATCTTGTCATTAGACCATTGTTCGATCACACCATCATCAAATCTTCACCACCTAATCATCACCGTTAGATCACCACCTTATTGAGTGAGCATCCCTAAATAAACTAGAATCAATTTCTAAAGGTAGAATTCAATATTTTTTTTTATCTTTACCTGAATTCATTCACAATTGTTTTACATATCAAATCCTCATATTGAACTCTTTATCCAACTTGCTCCTTGATCTTAAAATCAAATAATCATAAATTGGTTTTATAAATTCCAAGAGAAAATAGCTAAACAACTTCTTTTTCAGTGTTAAATCTTTCCTAAATGAAATTATTAAATCTTATAGATAAATATATCATCAAAATATTAGACCCGTTCACCATTATTCATTCGTATGTTACAAGTTTAGCAGTTGGATATGTTTCTATTTATTATTAGAAAAATAATCTCTCTATTGAACTCTTTTTCACTTTCATATTTCTTAAATAAAAAAAATAGCAAATACATGTTAAGAATATATTAATTCAATAAATATGAAAATGATTGCTCATTTTTGAACTTTAATATTAGATTATATATTGTTGCGTGCTAGAATATTTACAGCAGTGGATTGGATAATTTTTTTCGTCATAGCCATGGACAGATATTCGGCATACAAACAAGAGGATTTATGAGAAAGAGAGCAGTAAAATACCAAATCTTTTTTTATGTTGAAAACCCAAAGAGGGAAAAACCATGGGGCCTCTCCAAGATCAACATATTCCACTTAATTTAAGTAAAGGGTCGATTCAGCTTCTTTTTTTAGGATGAGCACTTTTTAAATTAATATTGATGACCAACAACAACAACAACAATAATAATAATAGTAAAATATTAGCATTAAATAGTACTAATAATAAAATAATTTTTTATAAAAAAAATTTTAACCAACATGATGCTGTCAAATTTATAAGAGAAAATTTTCATTATTTATTCGCAAAGAGAAAATATTAGGAACTTGGGATGGATGGGCAAACAACACGAGAGGAGTTATATAGGGCAAATTTTATTTTTGAGGGGCGGGTAGGGGGGTGGGGGCAGAATTTCAAAATTACCCCTCATACTTTTCTTTTTGAGGGAGGCATTTTCCCACCCTCACATGAGTGGGGGATTTGCCCATGATTTGAGTGAATTACAAAGATTGACCTATCCTTTGACTTTGAGGTAGTTGAATTACAATAGTTTGGAGAGTTGGGCAAAGGTCCGGTGACAATCGGGTTGAGGTTCGACGACGTCTGTGTGGTCAATGGATGGGCAGTGATTTGACAATGGTCTAGCGGGAGTCAGCGGCCGAGCTGTGGTCTGACGATAGTTGGGCGAAAGTTCGCTGGTGGTCGGCAACCGGGCAGTGGTCCAACTATGGTTGAGGGGAAGTCCGGCAGCGGTCGGAAGTTGGGTGGTAGTCAGTGGCAGTTGGCGCCTCGGCGATGATCAGATGATGGTCAAGGCAGGAGTCCGGCTGCAGGCAGAGGCTAGGTAGTGGTATTACAATGGTGGGGTGGAAGTCCGATGGCTATCGGTAGTCAACAAAGGTTTGCCAGCTGCGAAGCTAGAACTCTTGAAGCCTCAAAACTCTGTCTAATTTTTCCATCCAAAGGTCCCAATCATGTAGAGAGTGGGGGTATATTTGATTTTAGTGAATTGCACACCTTGTAAAATATGGATAAGATCAAGGGTCAGGTTCTGAGTGATCCATCGAATGACCCGTATTGATTCTCCTGATCATAGAGCGTTTTTCAAGTGTTTAAGTGCTACGATGTCAAAATTTAGCGACTCTGGGCTTGTTGGATTTGTCTCACTTAGTCGCTCGCCGTATTTTGATATCATTTTTGTCATTCAATTAATGCTTTGAAATTTCTGAGCACACCTCAAACTCTTTATTTCGACCCATTCGGGCTCGGATCACACCGATTTTGGTGTCGTTGTGTTCGTTTCTATGAGATGTTCATTTTGACTATAAGTTTGTTGAAAGCAAAATTAAGATGTTCCTAGCTTTAATTTTGAAAATTTTCAACTTGTATATACCTTGAAATTTGTGTTGGATCGAGTGTATTTTTGGTCACTTATCATATTCATATTATAAAATTATAACTACTCATAAAATTCTATATTTAATTATATACCATATTAATATTTAAATTACATTAATATATATGTATAAAGACATTATATTTTAAATAAATTAATATTATTATATAATTTATAAATTAATATATTGGATAAAGAAATATAAAAATGTAAGTATTTAATATGCTTGTAGTATGTATGCAAATCATTTAACTTTAATTAATGCCAAAGCAAAGTTTTGACCTCAGAAGTCTGAGCCCTACCAATTATGAGCAATTTTCTCCTTTCCCTACGAAATTTTCTGTCGAAGATTTAAATTGAAGGAAGATCACAGCGGCACATCATAAGAACAGCCGCAGATTTGAAGTCACAAGTCGATTTTCGAATCACCAAACCCTACCTAATATAGACGCATAACCTGCCAGAAAAAAAAGGATTTTCACGAGGATTACAAGTTGGCAAATTTATCTGTGATAAATGGAGCTTTTATAAGATTCTTTTATGAGGGCGCAGAGTTTAGAGTGCGAGAGGGAGAGAGCTGCGATTGATCGAGTCTGATGAATATTCTTAAAATGGCGGAGACAGGAAGATCATGGCCTTTTCAGTCAGGTGCGTTGACAAAATAGGATTTTTTGCTTCGAGTCTCTGATATGTAGGTTGGATTTCATGTTGAAAGTTTTGATTTTGATGGTTTGATTACCATTTTCTGTTCTTGAAGGGCGCGTGAATTCGCTTTTGGGGTTATGGTTTTGTAGTTTCTCTGAATGTTTTGAGATTTGAGGGTGGTTTGTAGCTTTAATTTCAATTTATCATAGTTGGAAGTTGGAAGTGCGGGGTTTTTTTTTTCAATTATCCAGGGTTTTCGAGATTTGGATTGAGGATCTTTAATATGTTGAAGTACTTTAAGATATTATTGTTTTCCCTTTGGATAAGTTTAGGCTAAGCGGCAGCTTTGGTGATGAAATGTTTGGCATTTTTGCACCAGTGAAGAAATATACTAATTTAAGCAAAACCATACTGATTTTGAATTTTATCAAGATGTTCTTTTTTTGTTAGTTCTACTGTCTTTGTCTTTTGGGAAAGTTTGTGATGAAGGCGTGATTAGATCACAGAAACTTGTCAAACAACTTCTAAAAATTTTATCAACTAAATTAGTTTACACCACCAGTGATCTAGTAGTACTGTTCCATCGCCCATCAAAACTTGATTTTTTGAACCAATCAATTGGTTTTATCCTATTTATGCATGACGCTATCCTCTTTTGACTAATTCCTTCTCATCAACATGCAATGATTCTTGCAAATTTAGAGCACTGCAAAATGTCAATTGGTTGTGTTTAGTTTGCAACTACATAGGCTGTATTTTCTTTAATGCAGCATTGTCTTGGAGGTAAGTAAAAGGGAGAGAATGAGGATGAGGATCAAACACAGGAAATCATCTGGTTTCCATTGCAATGCAGGAAGTAGATGTTCTGTGTCAGTTGTTTTGTGGAGCCTTGTGGGATGCATTCTCACGATCTATTTCATTTCCCAAATCAATCAGAATGATGAAGAGAACAGAGTCAAATCGAGCAACCATCATTTTACCCAAGAATTAGAAGAAATCGAAGAAGAAGAATTTCATCTACCAGCTCCGCGAAGCAAGAGGAATCCGCGTGCTCTTAGAAGAAAGGGACCAAGAAAGCAACATACTGTAATTGATGAGTTTCTCGACGAGTCTTCTGAGTTGAGGCTTTATTTCTTCCCTGATCAAAAGTCTGCAACAGGACCAACAAGGGAAATGAATGATAGCAAGCATTTCTATCCAGGAAAGCTTTGGTTGGATACTGATGGAAAACCTATTCAAGCCCATGGAGGTGGAATTTTGTTTGATGAGAGAACGGAAACCTACTACTGGTATGGGGAAAACAAAGATGGACCAACCTACCATGCTCATCCTAGGGGAGCTGCACGGGTTAGTTAATTTGAGTTTATTTTCTTGTAGGTTTTATTTCATTTGAATTTACTTTCTCCTTTCATTACAACAACAACAACATTATCAAGCCTTTGTCCCGCTAGGTGGGGTCAAAGAGCTTGAAACTATCTAGAATGTTGGAATTAAATAATATTTGAAGAATGGAAAATATTACTTTTAAGTTTTAGTTATGCTAATAGTTATGCCTGTGCAAGGAAATAAATAGCTGGGATTATGCTGAACAGGCTACAAAAGGTGTAAGTAATTTAGATAAAGAGAATGAAACTCGTAAGCATTAAAGTTGGCGAGCAAGCTTCTGATGATAACATTTTAAGAGATTATTTATCCAGTAATGACGAGCTTATTCATATTTCAAAAGATTTTCATCAGCACAATATACATTTCAAAGAGAAATGTCATTGGTCATTGTTCATAGAATACATTGAAGGCCTTATTTAGAGTTCAAATACTTTTTAGCTAACCTGAATATCAGAAAAAATTATTATTTCAATAAACTGATCACAAAATTATGAACTGTCATCAAGGCGCTATTGACCATTCTATCATTTCATCAAGTCACTGATCTGTATGGCCGTAGTAGGTCGCCAGAAACTCATAAAAATAGGGGAAAAAATCATGAAATGTCGTATTTTGCTTCTCATGTAATATTTCTTAAGAAGGATATATGAAGATGAACAAAATGTTGGAGTAAGCTTGATGATTTTTGTTGCATGCTGGATATGTTCCTCTAACAAGGAGCATTTTATAGTTTTTAGTGCCTCTAACTCATAGGTGCACGTATGCAATCCCTTCAAAAAGTGATTAATCAACCTGCCTTGAGGAAACTAAGTCATAGGAGAAGCCTCCAATGCTAATTTCAGCTGCTGAGCTGATAGCTGTTTTTTTACTGTAGAGGATCTTCCAAGGGAACTGCTATCATCTCGAGTCTCGATTGGGCCTAAATGCAAATAATATAGCATATTATAAAAATATTCGAATAAACAAGCACTCACATCTATAGAAAAGATGTTGATATGATGATTGCAGTCGCTTCATATTAGCTCAATGCACATATGAAGGTTGAGAGTTGGGAGTAATGTGAATGGAGGAAGAGTTCTCTTATTATTTGGAAGAGAAAAAAAAAAGGAAGAGTTCTCTTATTATTATTCTGGTAGAATAGGGTAGAAGTCTACTTCAACAGGAGTTTGGAATTGACAATAACATGGCATCATGATAGGAAGTAATGTGAGTCGGTGGCTTAGAGCAATGAAAGGCAATAGTAGGTCTTTGGAGATGAGGGGCATGAGGGAGGGTTTATTCCTCTTGATGTCAGCAGGAGAAAGCAAATTAGCGACGATTTGTGGAGGCAGGAAATTCAATGTGGGAGCCATTTGGAGAGCAAGGGGGGTTGGCATTTGTGGTCAAGGGTAACCCATTGTTTTGCACTCATCTTGTCTTTTGGTAATCAAGCGAGACACAAATTTTGAGATATGTTATCTCCTTATACAAACGTAAGGTCTTCGGCATACCCACTCCTTTTGAGGTTTGTGCCTTCAAAGTTTTTTAGATAATCTTGAACCTTCAAAGTTTTTTAGATAATCTTGAACTTTATGATGCTTTTATCTTTTGAGATTTTTGGATTAATAGAGGCCCTGTCAACTGCTTTCTTTTCATAATATCTTTCTAGTGAGGATCCTATCCATTATTAGCATTCCATTGAGACTATCTCATGGCCCTACCTTCCCGGGATTGTAAGTGGAGACCCTATTTGTCACCCGCCCTCATATAGGTCTAGTGAGGATCATATCTACTACTAAATTTCCGTCTATGCTATCTCATGGGCATATGTTTCAAGTGTATGTGTAAGATGTAATATTATTTATAAAAAAGAAAGTTTGTTGATAATTCAAATAAAAACTTACTTGAAAGATATAGAAGTTAAGATATAACATCTTTTGAACATTTTGAGGAGTTCAAAAATTTTGAGTTGTTTCAATGTGATGAAACTCTCATTCAATAATTCTTATAATTTCCTTACATCAAATTTTCTAATCTTTTTTATTTGAGACTGACGATTTACGAGTTGCTATTGTAAATAATGGACTAAATTTTTTTGACGAATCAGATGGTCAATCTCATCCTTTGATTGAAATTATATAAGATATTGATGTAAATACTTCATGACTAGTAGAGGATAATAGGCTAGTTGAACAACATGGGAAAGATGTACTGAATTGATAGTTTCCAAGTGATCTTAATAAGGATGCGGTGTAGGGAGTGCTACAACATAAGGAGTTATTGCCTGATGCCGTGTAGGGAGTGCTACAACATAAGGAGTTATTGCCTGATAGGCATTACCTACAAATTTTGGACTTATTAGATTCATCTTATTGAGCCACTTGATTTGATTATAAATATTCTATAATTGGATGTTGTTTGATCTATAAATATATGTTTAAACGCTTTCAAATATAATTAACATACTTACTTTGAGCTTAGTTGGATTTGGATTAGATCATTTATAATGTTGATAGTTTTGTCTCATCGAGACATTTAGTTCGACTATAAATTTGCTGGAATTGAAATTCGAATGATCCTGAATTTAATTTCGGAAGTTTTCAATGCAAATATTTACTGCAGTTTCATGCTAATCATATGAAGTTTCTGAAATCGTATTAGATATCTAAAAATATTTTTTTCCAAATTTGAATGTCATTTTAAATTCCAAAAAACATTCTTCATCAAACTTTGAATCATAAAATACTTACTACAGCTTTAATCGATTTTATTCTTAAGAAATCAATTATCTTGGATGTACATAACCATAAATGCTTAAATTTATGGGGAACTTCTGCCTCAGAGTAAAGCTCTATCTTCATTAGGTGGGAGAAAGTTCTTGGGAATTTTGATATTTTTGCAAAACCTTATTTTTATTTTTGAATCCATTGTAGAATATCATTTTTATTTTTTGAGATGATATGTGATTCTTTGTGATGTTTGATGTATTTGATTAAAAAATAGAAATTTCAAATATATTTTTTTGTTTCTCCTCATTATGTGAAACATGCCTATACTTAATGACTACAAGGATAGAATGCGATATCTATTAATTTGATTCCCTAGTGATAGATTAGTTTTTTGAATTGGCATGGGCTTGGGCTAGTTATGTTGTGGTAAATTTTTAGTGCAAAAATTTTAGTTCAAGTTTTTTCTATTGAATTCAATTCTTATAGAATCTGGATTAATAATTATTATTTATTCGTTATTAAAATCTCTGTTGCCTGCAGAGGATGCAGCTACAATCCCGCTATCGGTGATGACTTGCACGAGATTGGAAAATTCTCAATTTGCTTGTTGTTCTGCCTTCTGTGTGATTTGCATTGATTTATGGCTTCAGGACTTATCCATGAATAATTGGGAATTGAGTTTTAGATTAATTTGAATCAAACTGGACTTATTTTATGCCAAACCTATTTACTTAGGGTTGAGAAATTTATATATTAAAAACCCCTAGACATATGATATGGGGCTTTTGATTAAATAAAATTTATTATTCCAATTTTCAATCTTATTTGCATGTTGGACGTGTCTTTCTTTAGAGTGTGTTACAAGTTTGACTATCTAATTCTTAGGTAAGTCATCTTGTATTGATAATGAAGCTTGAATTTTCTTCATTTAGTGAACTCTTAGAGACAGGATACGAAATGTGCATATACTTGAAAAGGTTGGAGTAGCTTCAGTGGAAATTGCCTTAGATGGTTTGGTCACATAAAACGGCGGCCTTCCAATGACCCGGCTAGAAAAGTAGATGTATTATATTTGACTTATGTTAAGAAGAGGCAATCCTAAAAAGTCTTGGTTAGAAAATATTAGAAATGACCTTTTTTATTAGATTTCAATGATAATTTGACTCTTAACAAGACACAATGGAGAAAAATGATTCATGTAGCCAACCCCACGTAATGGGATAAAGGCTTGATGTTGTTGTTGTTGTTGCAAACTCTTTTTCTTATCTAATTTCTTGTAAATATTTTATTATTGACTTAATTTAATTTGTAATTTGTTCAATATTAATACAAATGAAATTTAGCCTATGATGGAAAATCTAATTCTTTACTGATTTATGTAGTGCAAATTTCTCATTGTTTCTTTGAATTTACTCCATTGTATTAATATTGATGTTTCAAACTCTCATATTTTTTTGATTTGCATCTCAAGTATGTGAATATTTGTATAATTGGTAGTCTTAATGTGCAATCCTAATTTCCTTTGTTTTGTTTACAATCACTGTATCATCCATCCTACATGCATTAGGAAACTTAAACCCTAAATTGTCTTGTATCATAGATTTTGCTGGTATTATGAATTCCTAGAACACATTGGTTTGCTCCCATATCTGCCACTCATTCGTGCGTCCGCACATGTTCATCCCTCTACCTAATTATATCTTCTACTTTTGTCACTCGACCTCTCACTCTTGTGCCTCTTTGCGCTTGTGACCGTTGCATGATATGGGCTAGTCGCCTTTTTGGCGTCAATGTCTCATGTTGTCAGCATCTCATTCTTCTTGTGTTCAATTAGGACTCTTAAACTTAGTTCTCGCGGTTTCAGCGTCTCTCTCATTACCTTCATCGACTTTCTATCTGTCTCTTATGGATTTTTGTTCTTCATTTTGCATTCGAAGTCATTCTTGAGCGCTTCCTTTGGTTTTGGATAATGCCATGAATTCCATTCTAGCTTCCAATTTGGAGCCTTCTCCCACTATCTGACCCCCTTAGTCATCGGTTTATCACTTGATCCCGCCTCTTCCTTGCTGTGCATTGGTTGCTCTGGTTTCGGCTGAACACCTAAATTGGTCTTTATCGCCTTCCCTTGTTTTGGTGGCTTCTTACACTGCAAAGGCTATCCTAATTTCATACCTTCAAAAAGAGCGCCTCTTATTCCTCGTCCTTTTTATTTTATAAAGTTTGTTGGTGGGGTGAATGATTCATGATTGTATTCCTCTCCATCAGATTACTTCCCTTCAATTTTTTTGTTAAGACTCAACTTTACCTCAATATAGGAAACCATCCGCATACCAACCAGAACTTTCACTTATTTTCATTGAAGATGAAATCTCTGTGCTTGCTAGATCACTTTGTATTTCTATTTAAGTAAAATCTCTTTAGGCCACTCTAACTTGAACGTTATTCGCAAATTTATGTCAAATTTACACTTAGTGACCATTCTGTTGAACTCATTGACCCTCATCATGCCATTATAAGATTTTCCTTAGAAGTAAATTACAACAAATTTTCTCTTGGTGATCCTCCTATGTCAGTGGCTATCTGATGTGTATATCAGTAATGTGGTCTTTTTTGGGTTGCATTCCCTACCTTCGTTTACATTATTTTAACCAATCTACTTTATAGTTTTAGCATTTTATATTCGGTGAACTTTTGTAACTTGTAAGTGGATGCTAGCACTGCTCGTTTTTCATGACCATCTGTAGCAAGGAATTTTGGTTAAATTGAACGTCAGTTCTTAGTTTGAAAAGGAGGTATGAACTGGCTTATCTTTTTATGGATATTAACCAAGGGTTGAATAAAAAGGTATCCCATCATTTTACTCCTGCAAAACTTTTGGGCTTAAGTACTCTGAATGTTTCAAAATCTATCTGGATATGAGGAAATCCAACTATCAGGTGTAGGATGAACAATTAAATGTTTTAACTATATCTTATACCACCATGGTGGCTACTCCATCAGACTAGATCTGCACTCAAAATTTAGAACAAATTTTAGACTCCCATTAGGACTCTAGAGGTTGTTGTGTCTACCCCTGCTTGTCTTATATTTTTTTCTAGCAATTTTTAGTAATTGTATTGTTATACTCATATAATTTTCTAGTTATGAGATTATGTTTTGAAAAAATGATAATATTCTGAATTTGAGATAGGTGTGAACTTTGAACCTGAACAATGAAGAAAACTTTTGAAGATGGTTCTTTTGTAAATTTGTACATGGTAAAATATGTTTTTTGTAGTATATCTAAACATTGCAACAGGAGTGACTGGAAAAATGCACATTTAAAGAACTCGTTAAGTATCGGTCGTTTTGTCATTCACCTATGGAAATATCTTGCAATATGGATCCCACAGCACATTTGTAATTGCATCTCCTGGATTTTCTGTTTATTCTCTTTTAAGCCCAAGAAGAAGAGATTAAAAAAAAAAAACCCAAGAAGAAGAGGATGATACGATTTGAAAGCAAAAACAGCAAGTAAAAGAGAAGAAAAGCGGAGGAACACAAAGATAGGGACTGATTTTTTTATTAATACTTCAACAATAATGAAAGATACAAGTGATCTACTATTCGAGAGGCAAGTCAGCTTCTTTCATAATAATTTATAGCTTTTTTAGGTCCACAAACGGAGCCGAAATTCTCCTTGGTTATGTTGAGAGTTCCGCCCAGCCCAAGGGCCGATTCAGCCCTAGATGGGTGGCTGGGTTGGACCAGCCTCTCTGCTCCCCTACTCCCGCCATATTAGAGGACTAATCACAATAAACCTGATCATTCATCTTGCCATGGCTGAGCCTGACAACAATTGGTTGATAGTTTTTTTTGGTAGACCTGGCTAGGACCAAATAGTACAAACTACTTATATATTATGGATATCAAATGATTTTGTATTACTTTTAAAAATGGGCCTTGGCCCAGCTCGAGGTATTTGCATCTGCACTAGATGTTTGGTGGTTTATTTTATTTCACCTTTCTCCAAAAGTGAATCTGATTCTTTATTTATTGTCTTCTTCACAACACTTATATCACTTAGTTAGCTTCATTGTACATGAACACATTTGCAGCTTTTATGGTTGAAATTAGGCTGCTACTGCTGTGTGAACTTGACTGTGATGATGGAGGACATTAAGTCATTAACTATCTCAAGCATATAACTTAACTTTTCTATTCTAATTTTCCCATGAACTTGACTGCACCATCTGATCTCACTGTTCTAATGCTTCATTTGAGACAGCTTTCTTATTACTTTTTAAAGCAAATTTTTAGTACAAAACTTAAAATTTTTGTACTAAAAAATTGCTTTGAAAAATAGTAAGAAAATCATCCCAAACGAAACATAAATATGCATGAAGTCTATACTTGCCAAACATATAAAGCTTAATGTTTCATCCTGTCAACAAAACTGATAGATTTGTATATTTTCCAACTTCTTATTTATCATTTCTTGTCTTTTGTCAGGTTGACATTATTGGGGTCAGCTGCTACTCTTCAAAGGACCTATGGGCATGGAAAAATGAGGGTGTTGTGCTTCCAGCAGAGCAAGCAAATGCCACACACGATCTCCACCACTCTAATGTGCTTGAGAGACCCAAAGTTATCTATAATGACAACACAGGTAATTTTGTAATGTGGATGCACATTGATGATGCAAATTACACAAAAGCTTCTGTTGGTGTGGCTGTCAGCAATTCCCCAGTAGGCCCTTTTAAGTATCTCTACAGTAAACGACCTCATAATTGTGATAGCCGCGACATGACCATCTTCAAAGATGATGATGGGAAGGCATATCTCATCTACTCGTCGGAGGAGAACAGCGAACTCCATGTTAGTCCTCTAACCGACGACTACCTGGACGTCGCCGATCAGATGCGAAAGATTCTCATTGGTCAGCATAGAGAAGCTCCTGCCTTGTTCAAACATAAAGGAACCTACTACATGATAACTTCTGGCTGCACAGGGTGGTCGCCGAACCGGGCGATGGCGCATGCAGCAGAGGAAGTTATGGGGCTCTGGGAGACAATCGGCAACCCTTGTGTAGGAGGGAACAAGATATTCCAAATGACCACTTTCTTTGCACAGAGCACTTTCATAGTCCCTCTTTCAGGGCTCCCAGGTGTGTTCATTTTCATGGCGGATAGGTGGAATCCGGCAGACCTGAGAGATTCCAGGTATGTTTGGCTACCTCTAACTGTTGGGGGAGTGGTTGACGAGCCATTAGAATACAATTTTGGTTTCCCTGTTTGGTCTAAGGTCTCCATCTTCTGGCATAGGAGATGGAGGCTTCCTAATTGGTGGAGAACTGCTTGACTTCGAGTGTAGCATATTTTGTAGATCTCTTCTATATTGTCTATAGTATAATAAATGTTTTGTAGATTTTAGTTGTGATGTTTTTGTTCGACATTTTCGATCATCAAAATGTTGATTTAGCCTCTTTGGACAACTAAAACTTGTACTTGGACTCGATACAGAACCATTAAGGTGGATTGTTTCTTAACCACTGAGAGTTTACAGACATTTCCTTTGAGCTACTTGGCTTTCTGCTATGCATGTTCTTCTTGATTTAGAGAAAAGTTTAGGTTTAAATGGTTGATTATAGCATGCATGACACTTTAAGCGGAGTTGCTGTGGAACTTCTGATACTTCTGAATGCAGTCTAAGGTTAGTTTGAGACGGCTTTCTTACTGCTTCTTAAATTAGCTTTCTAGTAAAAAAAATTAAAGTTGTCCCAAACGAAGTCTAAATGTACTCCATTTGCTTATTTTATGTATATTCCATCTGTTTTATATAGCTAAGGCATGTAGAAGAGAAATTTATCCTTTTTAAATCTCTATTGAGAACTCCTATCAATTTAAAAAGTTATAGTTTAAGGCTCCGTTTGGGGTGGCTTTTTTATTGTTTCTTAAAATAACTTTATAATATAAAAATTTTAATTTTTGTATTAAAAAACTACTTTAAAAAACAATAAAAAAAGAGTCTCAAATGAAGCCTAATTCTCATAGGAATATATGCGCTAAATAAGAACAAATTAACCAAAATTCACAGAATGACCATGTAAAGGATAATATACAATTACATGTAATATTTGCTCAAAATCACAACCTTCTGTATGTCTGAATTTTAGGTTTTGTTTGAGACAATTTTTTTATTGTTTTTTAAAGAAGATTTTTAGCATAAAAGTTTTTTTTAATTAAAAAACTTAGTTTAGAGAGTTGTTTTAGAAATCAGTAAGAAAGTCATCCCAAATAAAATCTTACTCGGAAGCAAAAAAAATTTGCCAAAAGGAGAGCAATATGAAGACTAATATGAAGCAGGGCCATACCTCTAATAGCACTTTTTTATTACTTTTTAAAGCAGATTTTTAGCATAAAAGTATCTTGAACTAAAAATTTTTATACTATAGTGTTATTTTAAAAAACATAAAGAAAGCCGTTCCGAACAAAACCTTACTCGAAAGCCAACGGTAATTTGCAAAGAGGAGAGAGCAATATGAACCAGGGCCAACCAGACCTCTAATAGCGCTTTAAACTTAGTTTTTCTTAGGCAGAGTAGAACTTTTGAAGCCAAAATTAAGAAATTAGGGGATGAAACTAATAGATGATGAGACCACTAAAGGCTATTAGTTGTATCATCGCATATGCATGAGCCATCTACTAGCTATTATTGTCACTAAGGCTATCATGCTACATTCACACTGAAAAAGAAAACTGAAAAGTTTGTTCATCAAATGATTTTCTACATCCTTTTCTTCTTCACTTCTCATCCCTCCAAGCATAGGATGCCCAAATTGTATTTTTTTGTAACTTTCCTAAAGCTTCCGACCATATAAAAGTTAGTACTAATGAGATGATCAATGCAAATTAAGACAATATAATTAAGGAGGGCTCCACCATTGTCTCAACTCACAAATCAGATGGAGTAATGCCGCATTGCCATTCTTTCTCTTAAAAAGTTTTGGTATGTATGCTTAGTTTACCTAAAGAAATTAGGTGCAATATACAATCACATGTGGTTATTGAGCTCTCTCTCTCTCTCTCTCTCCCTATTCCTCTTGCTCTTCATGATTGTAGATTTCTCTCTCTCTCTCTCTCTCTCTCTCTCTCTCTCTCTCTCTCCATTTTATCAAGATTTTTGTAAAGGTTATGAGTGAGGCAATATAACTTTTTTCAATCAACAATAGGTAACTTTTTTTTTTGAAGTTTTGAGCTATTAATTTGGAAATATATATCTTAAATTTGTGGCTTAGGAGAAATAATTTTCTCCTTCAATCTTTGAGCCACGGATTCTTTCATGTTGGGCAATTGTTTTGCTACTTATTTTTTCCTTATATGAAGCGGACTTCAGTGTTCTACATTACAAAAGTGCTGATCTTGCCCCAATGTATTTTAGTAATTTTAAATCTAAATATATTTATACATATTCATGTAGAGACCCTATGTAGTGAGATAAAAGCTTGATGTTTTTGTTGTTGTTGTTGTTGTTGTTGTTGTTGTTGTATATATAAAGAAAATAGCATGGGCACCTACATAGGCTTCATTTGGGACGCTTTTTTATTGCTTCTTAAAGCGATTTTTTATACTAAAAAATTGTTTTAAGAATCTATAAAAAAGCCGTCCCAAATGAAATCATAATCTTCATGAACACAAACAAATTGATGAGCTGCTACTGTAGCTCTGTCAGAATAACACTAAATTTCTCTTTGTAACAGCACACCAAGCTACAAAACGAGTCCTCGTTTGACGTTTACTGCTGCTTTTTTTCTTTTTAATTGCTTATTAGTTGCATCTATCGTTTTTACAACGGCAGAAACTTGCTTCGTTGTCTTCTCTGATTTATGCTCTGAATGTATAATAACAACATGGTTGAAATATATATTTGTTCAACGTAATCAGGAAATCAAGTGGAAGGTTGCAGCTACTAAGTTTAAAGTTTCAACTCAAAGATGAAACTAATCTTTGAAACAAATATCACACAACCATGTGTTGAATTTCTTGTTCATGCTTGCAAATCTCTTAAAAGCTAAATTGGATGGTTTTAAATTGATTCAAGCGGCCTTACTTTGTTGCCTTTTTTGTTAATGATGCTGTTGTTATTGCTACTACTGCTGCTATTATCAGATGTTATGACATTTGATGCAGTAAAAGTGGAAATTGGCTTCAATTAGATGTTGATGTACAATTACACTGAAGATTATGCAATTTTGCTCATTAGTAATTTCTATTATCATATTCTCAAGAAAAAAAATGACTTGAAGAATTATGAGGATCACAAAATCTCCATTGATTTCCACAACTTGCTATGCTTATCTCATATAGCGAAGGGATTCAAATTCTGTGTGTGTGTGGATATCACTGTGTAGGGGTGTCAAAATTGAGTTGCGGGCCGGGTTTGGGTCGAATTCAGAAATGACCCGACGCTATTTGACAAGACCCGAATCTGACCAATTTTTTGCAAGTGGGTCATAAAATTCAATCTAGACATGACCAGTCGGGTTTTCGAGTTGACCTGACCCGACACGAAACAAGCTATGGCTGAAGAATGGCGCAAATGGGAGGAAGGCGACTCATCCTTCGTCTCGTCAAAGTTGCAGGATAGGAACTAGAAATGAATGTCGTCGAAGTCGGAAAAGAGGAAAAACAAACCTTATGAAGACGGAGAAGAGGAAGGAAGGAAGGAGCATTGCCGAAGTGTGGACTGCACAGCTAGCGGCTTAACGCCTAGCCTAGGGTTAGGACTTCTAAACGAGCGCCGGCGATGGGACGGCGGGGCGGCGAGGCCGTCACGCCGGGTTGACTAGCAAGTGAGGGCGGCAATATGAATTTTTGATTTGGTGTATAACAGGAGTTCTTGGGTTGAACCCGGATCATTCTCGGATTTCCAGGTCAAGCTGAATCCGATCCGATTTTTGAAACGGGGCGGTTTGTTGAACCCAAACCCATCCCGTTTGACAAATGGGTTGAACATGAAATTTTCAGGTCGGATTTTTGGGTCGTGTCAAATATTGACACCGCTATCAATGTGCAATTTGCATCCAATCTCATGAGTCATGGATGGCACTAAAGCTTGCGCTAAGTAATGGGCTTCCCTTCTTTTGGAGTAGATGGGATAGGAGATCTTGTATCATGTGGGAAAGGTATTCTTAAAAGGGAAAGGTAACACCAATAAATGGGCCTTGTCTTCTAGTCTCTATCAAACTCTCTCTTCCTTGTGCTCCATTCTCTCCCTTATCCTCATGATAAGTTCATGACAAATCCTTTGTGATGATTGTGGCACATGGCTTGAACTGCCACCTTAGGACATAATTGGGAAAAGTTTCTTAGCTATCCACATAGTAGGCTTGGAAAGGAGCTCATGTTAATGACAAAAACTACTTATGATTGCACATATTTCATTATATTACTTAGTTTAAGTGCCCATTTGGTTGTTTAAGTTAAAAGCACCTTTTGAAAAGGGTGAATTTCCTTACCTTCAAACGAACAAATGATCAAAAGTTAAAATTTTACTTTCAAAATATTTCAACATAATATATAGCCACAAATCAAAGTGGATCTAGAAATTACTTTAGTGAAAAAACTATAAGAAAATTAGCATATTTATTTTAACTACAATCTCATAATATCTAATTCATTATTATAATTTAAATGCCTATTATGAGTTACACATACTTTAACAAATAAAATAAGTTAAAGTTTTCCTTTATTATAGCTCTAAATATGAGATAGGAAAGCATGAGAGGTTCATGATAGAAATTTTTTAACAAACTTTTTTAAGTAGGCCTCTCAATTAATGGATTTGAAGTAAGAAAGGATTTGCAAAGAAAAATAATGAGGAGAGATGAAAGAATAGTTTATATAATATCATTGTAAAGTTATTGAAGACTCATCTTATGATCAGTTTTTAAAAATTTGACGCTTGAATAATTACTAATTTTAATTTTAAATGTAAATATCTCTAATTTTTTATTTTAATTCATATTTAATAGAAATATACTTTATATATAAATATATAAATTTAACATAAATAATTGCTAATTTATGTTATATAGTCCTCGGTCTGGCGTGGTCCGGCACGACCTCGGTTTGGCGCGGTTAGCGGGCGCGGTCCGGCGCTACCCGCGGTCTGGCGCGACCGCCGGAGTGGGCGCTGGCGTACCGCCGCGAGCGGGGATGTGGGGGTTGCGCAGGGGGCGCGAGCGGGCTGTAGGTGCTGATGCGGGTGTGAGAAATTTTATTTTAAAATTTTTTTAATTAAACCGGCGGTTTATGTCCGCTGGCAAGCCGCCGGCATTATTGGCCGCCGGAAATTATTTTCCTACAGCATTTTTTTCGGCGGCAAAAATGCCGTCGGAAAACCGCCACTAAATGAAAAAACCGCCGGAAAAGCCTCAAATTCCGCCGTAAAAGGCTCAAATTCCGCCGGAAATGGATGATTTTCCTGTAGTGGAAATTTCAAGAAGTTGTTTAGTCACACATCACTTGAGAGATTTGTATTTGTTGTTTATATAGCTTTTCGTGTATTTACATGTTAAGA